CTCGATACGGAGCTTAAGACGTCCGGAATGGAAGTAACGCGCGGTTGCCAGGCTTCCGTTGAGCCAACGGGGAAACCATGGCCGAAATCCGTAATATTCTAGCGAAATGGCACCGCCGCTCCACTTTGTTCACCCTGCATTTTTTTCTCGTCGTTTAAATTTGCTGCTCTTGAGAGAAAAGGAAATGATGCGAGGATAATTTGACCTCTCGAGTCCTTAAGCGGGAATCGAAAGAAGCGAATTTTCCTCGCTCCGGACCCAAGGTCTCGGTTGCCGGATGCCTGCGAGTACAAAGGGATGCGTGGAATTCCGCTTATGATGCCAGGATTTGAAAACATATTGGTTTCTCCCGGCCCGATAGCTTGCGCTGAAAAACACGTTGGTGTTACTTACACGGAAAAAATGAAATTGCTGATTGAACAATTCAATTGCTAAGAAAAGTGGCTGCAATGTTTCAATGTAGATTTTACAACACAAAAATGCTATTTCAACCACCCCCGTGGTTGAATTAGCTTACAATAGTGGTTAAAGTAGCATTTTTGTGTTCTAAAATCTACACTGAAACATTGCAGTCACTTTTTTCAGCAATTGAATTGTTAAATCAGCAATTTCAGTTTTTCGGTGTATATTTAAAAAAAAAAAAAAAAAAAAAAAAAAAAAAAAAAAAATGCGGTTTTTTCCGAGGTATCAGCCATGTATTTTTTTGTGTGAATTTTCCCATACGAGCGAGTAACTCGTTTGAGAAGAGTTGAGTGTGAGCAAAGAAATCGGGCCTGTTGTTGAGGCCTAGATACACACGGCGATTAATCGCCGCGATTGAAAGACGAAAGCCAATGGAGAGTCTTGATCTCGACCCATTGACGTCGATATATCGAAATCAAGGCTCTCCATTGGCTTTCGTATTTCAATCGCGGCGATTAATCGCCGTGTGTATCTAGGCCGTCAGGTAGTCTATTGCCTACCTCTATTTTGTCCATTGCAACCACACGCTTCTACCAGTAGGGTCCATCTATATCCTTTTTATCTTGTTTGTCTATCGCTTCGTCTACCAATTTCAAGAATCAGCCCGCTCAGTTTGATCGCAGATAGAGGCCAAACCTGCGAAACCTCACAACTTTCAAATCCTCCCTTTCCTCAGTTTGAGCAAAAACTAAAACCCGAAGACCAACTTCGGCAACCTGGAGGAGGGTTCTCGACCGGGGGTGTGGAAGCCGTGAAGCCGGCGACGGTAGACGCGACTCGGAAAAAGACGTTCGGTGGCTCGCAAAAAGCGTCGTGGCGCTGGAAAGTATGGGACCGAGTGGAAGGGGGGGGGGAGGAGATAATTGAAGGGTCGGCAAGGAGGTAAAACGACGACGGTCCGAAGGCGGGGAGAGATCAAGAGTAGTACCTCGTCCGAGGTTAAATTATTAATAATTTGCCGGGGCAACTAATCCCGCAGCTTCGCCGCAGCAATGATATTTCCTCCCGGCAACGTCCGACGACCGCCGTCCGTGCCACCGCGTTGCCAGAAGAACTCTCGGGAGGGTTCCTGAAGGAATTCCTCCGGAGAGAGCGGGAATTTCCGAACGAATTCGAAAAATTCCCGAAGACATTCCCGCGACACTTTTCAAAGTTCCACTTCGAAATAACCTTTTCTTATAGCCGGCTGTAGAAGGCGATAGAAAATTATTACATACCTGACTTTAGGAAGTGAAGAAAAGTATCTGCCGGGCCATACAAATCAATAATAAATTATATCCCTGGTAAAAATTGACGATAGGAGCTGCGTTTCAAAATACCAGAGGGGTTCTTAAAGCCGACTAAAGAAGGCTATTGAAAATCATATAGCTGGCTGTAGAAAGCGGAGCAAATCATATAGCCGGGCTATACGAAGCTATAAAAAAAGTGTACAGTCGGGCTATAGTTCCTATCGCCGGGCTTAACACTTTATCACCATTGGCTACAAAAGGCTATAAGAAATTGTGTAGAAATTCGTGTGCTTTGGAAATCATTAAGTTTGATACGGAGCTACCTTAATATCTACAAAACACACATTATATTTTCCTTTAAAACATATTTTTTTTCATCAATTAAAATGAGAATAATCCATACAGAGTGTGCAAACATTTTAAAGCCATGAGTCGAAAAACGCTGACTCCGCGAGATTAAATATTTGAGCCTAACACAAAGCGGAGCGGCGACGCACTGGCGCCTACAAACCTAACGGGGATACTTCACGCATTGCGCAATGCGTGAAGTATCCCAGTTAGGTTTGAAGGCGCCAATGCGCGTTCTGCGCTAGCCAGCCGCCCATCGCGTCGCAGCGTGCCACGGCGCCTCAAGCAACTATTTCATACCAGAGGTATTGCACAGTATCATACGAAATTGAAAGCCCTCCAACATATTAAGAATGACAGGCATCCTTCAAAAGTACGGAGCTTTCCTCGCAAAATAAATCAAGATACTACGGCACAAAAAGAGAGCGGTAGTCCAAAAACAAACTAAGTTCTAGTATCTGTATTTAGTAACGTTTAGCATGAACTTTATCGTCTGGCTGTTGCTTAATCGCCATCGGCTATAAAAGGCTATAAGAAATTGTACAGCCGGCTACAGAAGCTATTGGAAATCTTACGGCCGGCTTTAGGTCTATAGTATTTTGGAACACACATTCTACTGCCAATTTTTACCAGGGATAGCCGGGCTAAAGTTCCTATCGTCTAGCTGTAGCCTTATCGCCATCGGCTGTAAAAGTCTATGAGAAATTGTATGGCCGGCTGTAGAAGCTTTAGAGAATTTTACAGCTGTAGGTTTATAGTATTTTGGAACACCAGATCCTACTGCCTATTTTTACCAGGGTAAAAAATGCCAGAATTGTAACCACGAACATGATTTCTCTCCGCTGCGCGACATTGGGTCGCTCACGATGTCTGAGCAGTGGTCACTACATGAGTTAAAGCGCTATTGTGCCAAGGATTCTCGACGAGCATGTACGGAAAAAAAAGTTACGGGCTATATAGACATACCGTCTGTTCCGGGTCTCAGAGGCCGAAACTTCCGGATGCTGGAGCCGTAGCTTCGATTGCTCCGGGTGCTACGCCCGAAACTTTCGGCCTCTGAGCCCGGAACGGACGGTATGTCTACACAGCCCGTAAGTACGGCTTCCACGGCCGGAGGTTTTTTTTTTCTTTCAGTGTACGACGGCAACTGTGGAAGGACTGCCGGGCTTGAGCTTTAAAAGTGAACGCGCCAACGACACATTTTCAAGAGCTTGTAAACAAACGACGCTCGGTCAAACGGATTTTTAAATTTCTATTTTCAAGCGGATTGTGGGATGCTTGAGCCGCGCTCGTGACCCAGATCTGGAAAAATTAAAGGCGGAAACGAGGTGGGTTCCCCGGATCGCTCCAGTTTAAACTGTTGCATACAGGAGTTCGGTAAACTTCCGCTCTAATGAATGGAGACTAGGTGAATAAGTAAACCGAAACGCCGCGGCCTCTTGAGATGAAAGCATCATCCGTCCGCATCCTGCTTCATCATCGTTATTATCCCGAAGAGGGCTATTTATTTAGGGTCCTTACCCGGTGCTCTCTAACTCAATCTGGACACTGTGCCAGACGTAAAACGGTGAAAAATCGGATTCTGGCTCCTAAAACCACACGGTAAGAAAAAGTAACCACAATGGACCACTAGACAAGGCACAAATTCAAGCATTCTGATACAAGTTACTTTACTAGAATTTCACGTAGAACACGATTCGCGCAACAAAAATTACTGAAACCAACTCCTAAGGAAGATATTAACCTTTTTATTTCACATTGGTTGCGCGGATTTTGATCTGCCCGCTCACAAGAAACTAAAAGCTCTACGTGAGTCAAATTGCGCACTACAACGGTTTCAGCAAGCTTCTCAATCGAGCAATGTTCATTTCTCACCATGTGTTGTTCAAACTATAAGCAATTTGCTATAGCTGAGCCAAAGCGTCAAAATTGAGGTTGCCAGATTTTTAAATCGCAGATACTGTCATGATAAAATTTAGTGCGCGATGTGAATCACGTAGAGCATTGAGTTTTCATGAGCGAGTGGTTTAATTTACGTATCAAGAATCATTAAATATCTTCGTAAAGAGTTGATTTCGTTAATTTTCGTTGTGCGCATCGCGTTTTACGTGGTATTTTGGTTAAGAAACATGTATCAGAATGCTGAAATTCGTACCTTGTCTAGTGGTCCATTGGACGTATTATGCTAAACGAAACTATGTGCAAGTGGAAAGATGGGATGTGCTCGTTAGTGGACGGACCATAAGAATGAATGGACAATATAAAGCGCCAGTGACGTCAGTGGCAACGACGAGAGAAACGACGATCGGGCAGGCGGTTTTTAACTCATGAAGCTCTGTCCACAAGGCTCTTGTCACATGCCCACGGCTCACGAGTTAGCGCTCAGTTCCTTTTTATTCAATTGAAAATTCCGCTTTTGCATTTTCTAAAAAGGAACTATATCCACTTTTACATTGTTTCTTAGCCAGTTTCCACGAGCACACCCCATCTTTCCACTTGCACATAGTTCCTTTTAGCATAAATACGTCCAATTTTGTAATAATATGAGAGGTGGGAGGTGGCACCAAAAATTTTGGTTAGTTGCGATGAGTTTCATAGTATTTACCGAGAGACTGGATGATATATGACTGAAATATTAGGCCGCGTTATCACGGGACGTTTCATGGAATTTGTCCCGAGTTTGAATCGCAGTGATGAAAATTTCGGGCTATTCACCCCGTTAAACAAAACGACAAAATTTCTTCGTCTTCTCTGTGAGTCATTTCTTGGACACCACAAGGCTTCCGCTCCATACAGTGATGAGTATTGACCAACTCAACATTTTCCCCAACTTTGCAGGTGAGATTTTCCCCTGGGACCAATACCACGAAACTTCCCGTGGAGACAAGACCTCATGTAAAAATTAAAAAAATCCCCTGAAAATAAATTGAGAAAAACAAAAAACGAGACTATGATACTCACAAATTGCTTCCGTGCGAGAACTGAAGGGTTCACAATGAACTGACTGCGAAATCCTGAAAAAAGAAGAAATAACATGGTTTAAAGATACAACCAAAAATACTTCGTTTCAAGCAATAGGGAGAATAAAACTAGGGTTCGTTTTTCGAAACATCCGACATTTCAGCGCTCCTTATTTTATGAAGGGCCCCCCGTGCCCCCCTGTGTTAACCGTGCCGATTTTTAACCAACCTGCATTTCCCTATTCAAACCCTTACGATAAAAAATGCCTGAGTGATGTAAAAATAATAATTCACACATTGCTTTCAAGGCGCAGTGGTTCCCTAAGGCTTGTGCAGAGAGCGCTACCAGCGAATGTTTCGCACTCAAACTCGAAACCGAACTCTCCCATCACAGAGGGAATCGAAAATTGTTTACAGCGCTCTTTACGAAATCATGTACGTCTTAATATATCCTGGCATCTTTTTTGGGAGTTCAACCTCACACGTGCCCTACATTCGATCACGTCTGTCTCTATTTTTGAGGTGGTACACAATTCCATTTCCGCTGAAGCCGACATGGCATCACGAAGTCTACTACTGCGTGGGCGGCGAGCTCCCGGCTTGAGTTTATTGAGTGGGAGTGGAGACCGCGCGCCCGCCTCGCCTACTGTATTCATTGCAGTCCCTCAAAGGGATTTTTTATTGCTTCTTTACACAACGTCGCACCCTGCTTATTATAACGCGCTATCCCCGCTGCTGCCAAATTACAAGCACTGTTTGGAATGGACCGTTTACTCAGAGCTAAAATCGGTGGGTAAAAGAGGTCGAGTAGTGTATATGTCGTGGGCAAATAGTCAAATATTCTTACTCAGATTGAAATGGACCACTAGACAAGGTACGAATTTCAGCATTCTGATACATATCTCCTGACCAAAATTTCACGTAGAACACGACACGCACAACGAAAATTACCGAAATTAACTACTTCCAAAGATATTCAATGATTCTTGATGCGTGAATTGAAACCACCCGCTCATGAAAACTCAATGCTCTACGTGATTCACATCGCGCGCTAAACGTTATCATAAACGTCTCAGCAATCTAAAAATCTGGCAACCTCAGTCTTGACGCTTTGGCTCAGCTATAGCAAATTGCTTAAAGTTTGAACAACACATGGTGGGAAGTGAACATTGCTCGATTGAGAAGCTTGCTGAAACCATTGTAGTGCGCGATTTGACTCACGTAGAGCTTTGAGTTTCTTGTGAGCGGCCAGTTCAAATTCCTCGTAACTGGTGTGAAATAAAGACGTTAATATCTTCGCTAAGAGTTGGTTTTAGTGACTTTTGTTGCGTCAATCGTGTTTTACGTGGAATTTTGATTCAGGTACATGTATTAGAATGCTAAAATTTGTACTCTGTCTAGTGGTCCATTCTGATTATTATCCTAATTTTACACTGGGGAAAAAAACACATTTGATCTTGAGTCCAGACTCTCAAAAACATCGACAAGAAAAAATACTCTTGAATCAATCAGATTTAAGCTTAAATCAAGAACCAAACCTCTTAATTTGAGCGGATTTTCTTTTGATTTAAGCTTGAATCTGCTTGAATCAAGAGTCCTTTTTCTTAAAAAAATGAGAGGTAAGAAAGAGATAAATATAAAAATGCACTAGGAGTCCGTGTCAACGATAACCAGTATGTCTGTTCAAAATGGGATGGCTTTCCTTTTTTGATTGCAAGAGCGAAAATTCGTATTTTAGGCCAGCCGATCGAATCATGTTGATGAAGTGTTAAATAGGTCATTTGAAGATAGCATCAATACATCTGAGGAATGGTGTACAAACACGCACTCTCTATGCAAATAACATTCAGATGTACCGGAAGGGGTAAGAACAAACGGAAAGCGGACAGAGGAGCGATGATTTACAACTCATTTAACTTTAAAAATATGTATTTTTGTATGTTTCAGTATTTCTATGAACATTACATTTTTTCAAGGGCAAACCATAGACCAGATTCGTCGGAAAATGTTGGTGCCTTCACTCACGAGGAGAAAGAAAAATCCCTTATAATTCCATGCAAATCCATGCGACGGACGGTTTTTCCATAAGAGAACAGAATTTCAGTAAGATGCAATGTATGAAGATACGTTCCTTCGTGCGTGAGACGACGACGTATTGAAGAATAAAGATAAAATCTGTTTGAAAAGACAAGAAATAGAATTCCAGTAAGATATTGTTCATCAAGATACAATTTCTTGTGCGGGAAGCGACAACGCACAGTGGATCGAGTCAATAGGAGAGGCCGGACAAAATTTGGAAACTTTAAAAGCCTCTAACTCCGTTCATGCAAAAGTTTGAGGTTCCAAAAGTGGTCCCATTGGTTTTTTCGTGAAATTTTCTTCTGAATGCACCCCTTGAAATTTACAATGTGACGAAACAAACACGAAAATTCTCGGTTTTAGTCAAAAAGTTCATGTCCGACCTCTCTAATTGACTCGATCGACTGTGCGACGTATTGAAGAATAAAGATAAAATGTGTTTGAAAAGACAAGATAATGGAAGTGCACTATTTTTCTATCACAATTCCTGTAACCTTTCAAAAGCTCAAATTGTTTGACTCGCCTAATTTGCGCTTTCCATTGACGCAAAAAAGACCTAAATCGCTGGTAACGTGTTCTCTGGAATGGACCACTAGACAAGGTACGAATCTCAGCATTCTGATACATGTTTCTCGACCAAAATTTCACTTAGAACACGATCCGCACAACGAAAATTACAAAAATCAACTCCTTCCAAAGCTATTTAATGATTCTTGGTGCGTGAATTCAAACCACCCGCTCATGAAAACTCAATGCTCCACGTGATTCACATCGAGCGCTAAACGTTATCATGACAGTCTCTGGGATATAAAAATCTGGCAACCTCGATCTTGACACTTTGGCTCAGCTATAGCCAATTGCTTATACTTTGAACAACGCATGGTGGAAAATGTACATTGCTCGTTTGAGAGGCTTGCTGAAATCGTTGTAGTGTGCGATTTGACTCACGTAGAGCTTTGAGTTTCTTGTGAGCGGGCAGTGCAAATTCCTCGTAACCAATGTGAAGTAAAAACGTCAATATCTTCGTTAGGAGTTGGTTTCAGTAATTTTCGTTGCGCGAATCGTGTTCTATGTGGAATTCTTGTTAAGAAACATGTATCAGATTGTTTAATTTCGTACCTTGTCTAGTGGTCCATTCTGGAGAGCTCTCGTCATTCAGGTTTTTCGGCCAAACTTGAGAAGAATCGCACTCCTGAAAATATCCCACCGCAGCAGTAATGCCCCTTCTTCCACGAACGATCAAGTTCATTATTCTGCCATGTCAGGGAAGAACGCCGTATAAACCTTCAGGCGTTGCCAAATTTCATCCAATAAAATACGAATTCGTTAGGGAAATTGTGAATATTTTTAATCTAATTTTTGAGACTATTTTTTTTTTGCAATTTAATCTAGAATATCCGCAAATTTCAAGAAAAAATGTACATAAAGTTCGTCAAAAACACACGTTTTATCCGAGGAAATTTGGCAACTCTCGAATGTTCATACGGCGTTCTTCCTTAGCACGTCAGTAGTTACATGCATTTATTCATATTTACGGTAGCCTATTGGTTAATCGTTTCGATCCTCGTCGATTTTTTGTTAACAAAGGGACAAGACGTCGTTCTTCACGTCAAAAACCTCTTGATCGACACAGTGGGATATCCTCCCACTTGTAGCCCTCTTTGAGCTCTTTTACCACGTTTTGTTCTCGTTTCTCCGCCGCTAACCCCCCCCCCCCCCCCCNGCCCTCTTTGATAGAGCTCTAGTACACCGGCTTCTTTGATGAAGCGCGGGAATTAAAAGTAAGCGACGTGAAACTTCCGAACGAAGAAAGAAAGTTCCCAACAAAGTTGCAAAATTACTCGGAGAGAGCTTGTCAAATCGCGAGAAATTTTGATTTTATAGCTCAGATACGACAACCGCGCGAACGCTCCAAAAGCTAAAACAGACACATCCTCAAAAACCAAGGACAGAATGGTATTCTTTACAGTATAAAAGTGCATTCTCAAGGCTTTGTTTCTGCCATAAGCTAACGTAAAATTTGGAGGAACTTGATAATAAGGAAGTAGGGTAGTAAAGTAAAGTCTCCTCGAGTGCTGAAATGTTTAAAATTCTCTCGCTTTTCCCGACTTTCCGAGGGTCTGCGCCCAAAAACAGATCGACTTCACCCCGATTTTTCGTGGATACTACGCATCATCATATTTTCCATGAGTACAACTTGAGCTCTGCTTCAACTTAAATTTAAAAAAACCTAAAGGCGATCGTGGTCATTTAAAAGCATTGGCAAGAGAGGAATTCAAAATGTGATAGGGATAAGTCCAGCATTTTCCATTCCCTTACACTCCCTGCCTTTTTCAAGTTTTTTATGAATTTTCAAGTAAATGCCAACCTTGAAAAACCAGGCATAAGTACCTTCCACTCTTTAGTTCCTTGATGACATTCCGAAGTCTCAGTCTTAGCTCTAAGTAAAAAAAGGAGAGATTGTCTCTGCTTTTTGGGCATATAAGCCTTGAAATTACCCTCTTTTTGATGACTGAACAACGTTCTGAGCAATAATTTTAGCACACAAGCTGTTGTTTGGTAAGCTACCTTATGTGAGCCTGCTACTCAATACGCCTCGCTGCAGCCAACAAATACACAAAATATTAATTTTGTTGCTTTGTGAATAATATTCCATCCTAGAATTAGAAAGTTACTCCCATTGCTGCAGGGCATAAATGAGCGGTCTCCATTTAATGCTTTGAGAAAGCCTTGATTTTAGATTAATCAATTTTATATATCGATTGCGAGCGATTGCCTCAGAAAAACCGATAAAAATGATAAGAGCTGTTAGCTGTTTATCAATGGTCATTTTGCGTAATGCATTATTAAAGACAAGACACATTGTCAGAGGTATTCTAGTTCCGTCCATCATATCCTTGATAGCACACTCTTTACCGCTGTTGCAAGAAAAATGACTCAAGGAGTTTTGTGATTTTGACATTATTCTACCGGTGAGTAACAAGAATCAATCAATATAAACTTGAAAGAAAGTAAAAATGAAACGTAAACTTTTGATTAACGAATCAATGTGTTTTTAGGTTACGTTGCTTGCATCGATCACTTGCATACCCTGAAAAGTGACATCCATGTTGCAGATGGAGATATTTTAACGAGAACTTTATCCATCCTTTATTCAATTGTAGGCAACAGCATGACGATAGTCAGTCATCATCTCCATGAGAAAACACGTTATGAAGTCTGAAATCCGACGCAATTAATCAGAGCTTACGCGCAAAGTTGTGCAATAAGTTGTGCGCTAAGTTGTGCGCTGAGTTGTGCAATAAGTTGTGCACCAATTTATACACTAAGTTGTGAGCTGAGTTGTGCGCTAAGTTGTGCGGCATGTTGTGCGCTAAGTTGCGCGTCAAGTTGTGCGCTGAATTGTGCGGTAAGTTGTGCGGCATGTTGTGCGGCATGTTGAGCGACATGTTGTGCGCAGAGTTATGCACTTAGTTGTGCGCTATGTTATGCGCTTACTTGTGCGCTAAATTGTGCGCTCCGGATATTTTATTATGCATGCACACCTAAAAATGGCCGTGTTCATGGTCACTCTTGGTTAAATTGAATTACGTTTTCCGGTCAGAACGATTTAATTGATTACAAAATTTTTGGTTAAACTGACCGAAACCATGGGTTACTCTGAGACATATGAGGATACGGAGAGTGTACTGTTGGACTAATATACTCTTGTTTCTCTCGATCTTTCTCCAAATGTGTCACTCACTAGCGCATTGAACCATCACGAGTGCACATAGACGCATTGGATCCAGATTTGATCCTGGAGGTATGCGCCTCATTTTTGACGAGATTGCAAATTTTCAATCCCAAGATTTGGTCAATGTAAATCAAAAGAAAGCCAAACAAAAATTTTAACCCCAAGTTAGGGTTACTTAGTGTTCTATCTCCCATATTAACACAAAATTTCGGTTACTTTTTCTCAACATGTAAAAATGTAGTAAATGCGTGTTTTTAGAAGCCTCTCCATTAAAATATTTCGTCTACTTCCTGACGTTTAATACCATTTAATTTTACGGTTTCACTCGTAAGATATTTTTACAGCAGACATCAAAACTGTTTTATGGACAATTTAAGGAGATCCTTAAAGACAAAAATTGACAAATCACTAAGAAAATACATTTTTGCACAAAACACCGTTGATTGTGACGGATTATATTCTCGAGTTTTATTTGTATTCTTGTTTCAGATTAACCATCATGTTCCCTCCGCTCCTCTCAGTATGTTATTTCATGATAGTGACTCTCGCGCTGAAATACGATTATTTTGTAGTCGACCGTCTTTTTGGTCTTGAATGAGTGCATTGGGAATAAAGAAGGTTTGTATTTGAGTTATCCATCTAACTTATTTCTTCACTTTTTGCTGCTTTGTAAAATGTTAATTTCAGCAACATTGAAAAATGTCTTAACTTTTAGAAATTAGCTTCCACATTCAGGTGACTGATTGTGAGTAAAGTTGGAATTTGAGATCGCTCTTAAAAAATCACTAAAAGAATTTCCATGGAGAAATAAACTGCATTTTGAAATAAGGAGCTAAAATTACCGGCTCGTGCATAAAATCTCCTGTCTGCAAAAGGGAACTAATTGTACTGCCGTGCTAAGGAAGAACGCCGTATGAACATTCGAGAGTTGCCGAATCGCCTTCAATTAAATGTTTATTTTTTAGGAAAATTATGAATATCTTCCCTTGAAATTTTCAGGACTTTTCGGTGGAATTACGAGCAAAATAATCTGAAAAATTGAAAGAAAAATATTCATATGTTGGCCAGGAAATTCATATTTTATCGAGGGAAATTTGGCAACGCCTGAAGGTTTATACGGCGTTCTTCTTTAGCACGGCAGTGTAAGAGTACAGACTTTCCTTTCTAAAATTAACCAAAAATTGTAGTTCCTGATTGCAAAACGTAGTCCGAATAGAGGATAGAAATATTGCTTGCTTTTTCAGCAATTCACATACAGGTAAAATTACCTGCAGAAACCCGTTTGAGGAACACTCGACTACCTTTAACGTCTCTGATTATTTATTTGTAAACTCACGCACTGTGTGGGTGGACATTATAAGAACATTTTGGCGCGTATACGTAGTATACCGCCTTTGCGATCGTTTCGACCCCCCCCTCGATACAATAACCGAGTCCCCTAGTTCCTTACCGAAAAGTGACTACCGCGAACTTCTGAGATTTTCCAAAGCGTGTAAAAAGTTTACTAATCCGTCAATAATAATGATTAAAATTTGTTTCTCATTCTGGGGCTCGCTAGTTTATGTGTAATGAATACCAAGAGTCTACGTTTCTTGGTTTTTTTTAAAAAAACCTTAGAATGGGGCGCGCTGATTTAAAATATGCATATATAAGCGGAAGCAAGCGAACTGATTCGAGGATGGCTGACCAGTTCGGCACTCCTTGAATGAGAATTTCACTCACTCCGTTTTGTTCACAACGTTGCTTTGACATATCTCCACAACACTGTTATCCTTTTCAAAAGTTGGTACTCCTTGCTCTGATAGCCGGGGCCACCAGGATAGTGGTAAGTGCAATCTGTGATGAGCCTCGAGACTCATTAGACCATTTGCTAAACGTGGCTCATACAGGAGTCCACTAAGCCCTCTCGTCCCCACGCTCCTGATCACTGCGTCGGCGTCACGAAGAACAATGGGCCTTGGGTCCCAACGCGGCCGATACCCGTACCCCAATTACTCACGCTTCATTAACCATTTCACCGTCACGCTAGGATTCATCCAATTTTCAAAAAAAATTGTTTCGCATGTATTTAGCAATTTTTTCCTTACTCTCCGTTAAAACACAAATAAAAAGAGACCTCATTCATAAAAATCGGCCGAATAGAAGAGAAGTTACAGTAATCGAAATCCGAAGAAATCAACAAAACCTCGACTCCTCGATACGAAAAATAAAATGAAGGGGAAAAAAAGAAAGTATAAATTACAATTAAATATAATTGACCTCAAAATTTGACAAACAATTCATTTATATACCTAACGCTGAAAAAACTGGGAGAAATTACAAAAAATTTGCCTCTTGCAAGGGGCTTCTTTGTAAGAATTTTGACCTGAAGACAACGGTCGAATAACAGCAGTACTCCATACAATACACGGTGTGCCTGAACGAGTTAAACATTTTTCATACGTCCAAATCGAAAAATCTTTATATTTTTAACTACAATGTTTCTTGAATCGTTTAAGCAAAAAAAAAAAAAAAAAAAATTCCGTCGAGATTCTGGAACGCAAAGGCGCTTTAAAAGTATTCTGGGGCTATAATAGCTAAATCACCGGTAGTAAATTCGTTATATTATTAAAAAGAAATTGACTCCATAGTTTAATTCCTTAGTTTCTTGAATACGATTATTTTAAGCACTTAAACATTTATACCACCAATTTTAGCCATGGGGTGATTTCCTGAGAGCCGATAATATCACGAATTTCTCATAGAACCCCTCAACAGTGGCTTGCTTTTTTGGCAGCCGATTCGGCCATCGAACCGGAGTTTAAATGGAAGCTGATAATAACCCAAAGCTCTGAGAAAAATTTTGAGATGAGTATAAGAACGGTTTGTTGTAAGTAGCGAGGAGAGGCGGGCAAAGCGGCTAAAATCCTATCTAATTTTTACAGTTTTTCTGTTGAATTAATGTTGCCGCGGGCTTCTGACTGTCCACACATAGTTCTGTTCAGCATATCGATACATAAGTATTTACATTTTACATACGTAGAATCTAATTTTCACGTCGGGGAGTTGACATATTTTGATTTTTTCGATTTTATACGGAAAATTGATGGTTTTTCGGGATTGAAATTATTATTGTTTCATGAAAAATAAATGCACCCAAAATGACTATAGCATATTGATTCTTACACATTTGCACTCACAAAATTGGTTGGTAAATTCAACGAGTGGGTGCATCGACCTGGTATATCAAGTTTCTGCAATTTTTTACGGCAAATCAGTAGATTTTCGGGATGTAGATTGCTTACTTTCAATTCATGAATGAATAAAGCAACGACATGGTTGAACTTCTTTGCATGGAAAGACGTTTAAAATAACAAAATCAAGACGTATTTAATGCAATTGCATTTATATCGAGTCAATTTCTTTTCAATAATATAACGGGATTTTTACTACCGGTGATTTGGGTATTTTAGCCCCAAAATACCTTTAAATCGACTTTATCTTCTAGGAGTTCGACAGAATTTTTCCTTTCTTCGCTTAAATTATTCCGTAGCACTTTTCTTCAAGAATCTGATAAGATTTTGCTTGAGGCAGATCAAAAAACTTAAATTCGATCGAATAGCTTTCTACTTTCACAATACACGGTCTCGTCAAGGTGCGTCTTTGACCTCGCAGTGTTGGATCGTGAATTCTCTTTTTATGCTGTTTGCCTATTTTGAAATCTCTGTAAATGAAAACTAAAGGGGTTGATATGTGCGAGTTAATGACGCGCCTTATCAACACATTGTGTTGGAGTTCACTGCTTGTTCTTTTTTGTCTTCTTCACCTTCTTCTTAGTTTTCCTCTTTTTTCCAGCGTTCTCTTCCGCCTCCTCTTATTTTTTTCGCATTTTCTTTCCCTCCTTCCCGAATTCTCATCTGTCAAGTATTAATAGATTAAAAAGAATCAGCCAAACCGCATTCACGTTCCCTAATTTTCTTTCATTTTTTTTTCTCCTTTTTTTTGGAACAGAGAACTAAAATACCTATGCCTTCCTCTCTATATACGCAAAACATGTCAAGTTTCAACGTTACTTAGTTTTCTGTTTAAAAAATAAGATTTGAGCGACAATCAGGAAACTTTTTAATGTAATTAGGCTTGTTTGTCAAGAACTTCCAACGCGCGAGCGCCTTCGGGTTCCCATAATACTCCACGCTTCACCATGAAGTTAGTTTAGTTGCCTATCTGGCTTGAGCCCAACTCGGGCTAAAGATCTGAATCAGTTAGACCACACAGAAAAAAAAAGCATGCTAATTCAACATTTTGGATGTAAAAAAGTGTGGGACAACTCACAAAGCGCTGAATTAACCGCTACAGCAGTTACTTTAGCAATGTCAAGAAGTAAAACTAACAGCTGCGGCGGTTAATTCAGCGTTATGTGAGTTGTCGCACACTTTTTTACATCCAGAATGTTAAATCAGCATCCTTTTTTTCCGGTGTCGGTAAAATGAACCCATAATATGACTGCGTGTGAGTATTCTGACAATCTCCCCTCGAAATATGTGACAAAATGCGGTGTCGGTCTTGATGGAAATTTCTCATTCAATCAAGCTTGAAAAAGAGAACGATTACAGATGACTTGGCACGCACGCATGAATCATAAACACACTCGGGAGGCTTTAGTGACTTACGGCGGACTTACGGGATCACAATGATATCGCAGACTAATTCATCGATTTTCACATCGTGGTATAATGGACGTTCGGGGAAAAATATCGAGGGGGGTTGATGAATCGTTGGCCCCCGAGCCAATGAATATAACTGGACATATTTATGCCGAAAGGAACTATGTTACACGTAACCCCTTTGCACATAGTTTCTTTTAGCATAAATACGTCCAACTGTTAATGGAATCACGCTTATCGGCCACGATTCAATTAGTCGGTGATTTGCATGACTCCCGTGACCTGTTAATGGAAATAAATCAATGAAAATTAATATACGGCGTTTCATTCCGCCATACCGTCCGCAGTATGACGCCACCCAACAATTCCTTTGTGTGCACTGATAAAAAATTGACTTGATTCAAGCAGAGGTATTCTTGAATTTGCCAGTATGAAAAAAATTCATCTTCGGTAAAGCAGAAAATATGGTAGTATTTGGCATCAAGTCACTTATATCATCAAAAATCTGCTTGGGTCCAGCAATTCTCATGGCAAACTCAGGCCATTTATTCCCCACGTGGTCAGTCCCTAGAACACTTTTTTCATTCATAAAATGATCTTATCTGTATTCGATAAAGCTTTCTCCAAGAGTAAATTATTACATGTAAAATGTATAAGTAATAGCATCATTAATGGGATCAAGTTTATCAGAATGGAACCAACCCACGTGTTCGAAAAAAATGAGTTAAGAATGTTTTCGAATTCCACTAACCGTATATTTTCTCCTGCCAAAAATTGGTTGTCGAGAAATAGAAATTAGTTCGTGAACAGAGGGATTATTTATTTTCTACATTGAGCCTTATGCAGGAATAAAACTTCAAATCTCTTTTTCTCAGATTCAACTTAATATGGATTGGTTCCTTTCTGATAAACTTGGTCCAATGATCCTCAAAGGAACAGAATATCTTAACGTTTTTATTTCACATTGGTTACGAGGAATTTGAAATGCCCGCTCACAAGAATCTCAAAACTCTACGTGAGTCAAATCGCCCACTACAACGGTTTCAGCAAGCTTCTCAATCGAGCAATGTTCATTTCGCATCATGCGTTGTTCAAACTATTAGCAATTTGTTATAACTGAGCCAAAGCGTCAAGATTGAGGTTGCCAGATTTTTATATCGCAGAGACTGTCATGATAAAGTTTAGCGCGCGATGTGAATCACGTAGAGCATTGACTTTTCATGAGCGGGTGGTTTGAATTCACGCATTAAGAATCATTAAATATCTTCGTAAGGAGTTAATTTCGGTAATTTTCGTTGTGTGCATCGTGTTTTACGTAACATTTTGGTTAAGAAACATGTATCAGAATGCTGAAATTCGTACCTTATCTAGTGGTCCATTATTATTGTGGAAGGGTTGTTGGATTGTGATACGGTCGATTCTTGTTCTCAACCTGAATACTCTCTCATTTTGACACGACGAATCCAGGTAAAGAAACAAGAACTGACCATGTTACAATCAGACAACAGTGTTGTGATGATCATTGAGGATCTGTTTGTATCCCATAAGGTCATTGAAAATGTATTTTACCGAGGATATTTTACTTATTCTATTTCAGTACAACTGAGGGGTATCGCGAGAAAAAAATTCGCAATTTCTGAACAAACGCATTTGAAATTGAACAATTACAAAGAACCCAATTATGTGAATAATCATTGAACTGGAGAGCTGCAACGAAAAATAAGCGAGGGCTTCAATTTTCCACAAAATAAACCATTAAAGAATTTCACGCAACATAATTAAAATCACAAGTTCAAAAAAAAGTCACTTGATTTTCTGGTTCGTGATACCCTTCAGTTATTGTGTGTTTTAATAGCTTAAATGTACCTCTTGTTCTCAGTGCCGAAAATGACAGTTATAACTCTGTTTTTACAGGTTGAAAATGAACCCCGAATCGCCAGGACTATTGGCATAACGAAGAGAATGGCAGGAAGTTTGATACAAAAATGATATTTTGGGGTCTGTTGCACAGGTAGAGGGATGAATAAAATTTATTGCATAATCTGAAGTCCAAATCATGTAATTTCTCCCGCAAACCAAATACAATTTTAAAGAGCCCACGAAAACCACCCGGGCAATGTAATCGAGCGAAGAGATGGTTGATTTCTAGGATCCACACAAAATGTCTGTGAAGCAAAACATGCCGTGAGAGCTGGGATATCGCCAAATTCTCCTGATAAATTTCCCGTTTTATGGAAAACTTTTAAAAAAATGTCTTCAACATTTTTAGAGAATTTTAGACGAACGTAGCTTCACAAATCACAAAGAATCATAAAAAGGGCAATTTTGACAACTCCTAAATACGAGGACCTACTCGTACTCGTAAACTGAACGAATCACTCCAAAAAAAAAATTAAATAAACAAAAAATTCAGGATGCATTATTTTGAAAAATCTGCAAGTGTTTAGGTAGATTTGTATCTACAGACTTATAGTCCAACCCACGGAATTTTTCCTTCCAAATTTTTAAAATTTTTGCAGCGGCAAGATCAATTATATTCTTTGCAAATACCAATTTTCGAAGTGTCTCTGCTAAATTTTACTCAATATTAGTTAAAATTGCCCTGTTTACGATCTATATACTGGATGTCCCTAACCCTCTCTTTACCCGAATGCAATGGAAAGTCGAATGAGGTCTCCTATCGAAAGCGGGCTAGTTAACGAGGGACAACGAATACAGCCGGTAGATCCGCCAGCAATCCATCGACATGCTACGGCACAGAATTAATATGACCTCTTGCGTCGGAGGAAGACTCCCATAAACAACAATTCATCTCTTCCCACAGGAGCATCCGCTTCAAGGCTATAGAGAGGAACGAAAACATATTTTGTTTAGCATTCAACCTTGTTTCTAGATCGATACTGGCTTAACCCTTTCTTCCAACGACCGGCCTCTCTCAAAATATAAGTGAGATATATGCGCGGTGGCATTGCCCGTTGCCGAATTTACAGAATATTAAGTGATAATACTGCCATGCTGAGGAAAATTGCCGTACTAGACTACAGGCGTTGCCAGATTTCATTCGACAAATCATAAATTTCCAAGAAAATTCGTGAACATTTCCCTTGCGAATTTTCACAGGACAATATCTGCTTAGTTAGACCTAAAAAGTCTGAAAATTTTAAGGGAAAAAATCCATGACTTTCTTCAAAAATAAATATCTTCTGAGAGGAAATTTTGCGAGAAACACGATAATGTCACTGCTTTTTTCTGAAATCAGCTCCAAAATTCACAAAAAGCTCTCAAAGTTGAGGCTGTAAAGGAGGAGATATCCCACGCTACCCTGAGAGCCCACCTCCATATCAGGGCAAACTCTCTGTGCAAAGATAGGGAGCAAATACATTAACAGGGTTGCCACTTTATTTGGCAAATCTAAAACTAAAAATACGGCAACTCTGCCTGGTTTGCTCCCTATCTTTTCGAGGAGAGTTTGGTTGGACATAGAGGTGGACTCAGGATCGCGTATGACATCCCCTCTATTTTGGCCTCAACTTGAGAGCTTTTTCTGAGCTTTGGAGTTCATTTCAGAGAAAATCAGTGGCTTTATCGTGTTTTTCGCGAAATTTTACGTGAGTTACATCGCGATTCTCACGAGATTTTACGTAAGTTACATCGTGTTTCTCGCGCAATTCAACGTAAGTGGTAGTACTCAAATCGTAAATCTCTCACGCACGCAAGAGCTCCACTAAAGGCTAAGAGTCCTTCTAAATCCACCCATCCCGATCAATCTAGGCAACGACGTGGAAGGGGCGCGCCGAAACTTACGGCCCCGGAAGAAGGTCAATGTTAGCGGGCACAGGCAAACGAGCCGTCGACGTCGACAATCCGACGCGTCGAAGTCAGGAAGTACGGATACGAATCCGTGGAAACGGGGGGAGACGTGCCCTTACTCCCCCCCCCTTTTCCACCGGACCGAGGCGTGGAAAAAAAATCAAATTTCCGGCTCACCGGCCGAAGCCGGCCCGGGTCCGATTCGGCGAGTTCCCCCACCCCCACCCTCCCGAGGATGATTGATGCAGTCTTTTTTACCCTCTCGATCTCCGCGAAAGGGCCCAATCCGGAAGGCTCCTTTATTCATGAGCGCTGCCCGCGTTTATTCCGTTGACACAGCGCAATAACCACATTTCGAGATGAGCCGTGTTATTCGTATGGTTCCCTGCTTTCGAGGGCTCACGTGAGACGGGGGTTACGTGGTTGTGAGGATGAAAGCGACGAATTTAGCTCTTCATCACGCGTCATCCGAGACTCGCGCGCGGGAGGTGGACGTGACTCCGTCGGACGCGGACCCGCTCCTATGACGATTATGAAAAGACCCACGTCTCTTTTCCGTATGTTGGTCCATATTGTGAAATCGTGGAGGAGCGCCTGGCCGCTGCGCGGCCCGACCCTTATGTGCGCTTTGCGCCCTCAGGATCCACACTTCCACAGTCTACACTGGGAAAAGTATTTCGACGGTATGGGTCCGCAGCCACGCGTTTCGCTTTGCGACGTCGCAGACTCCCTGTCCTACTTTATTAACCTCTTTACTTGCCAAGGGCCTTACTGTCCTTTACTGGCCCTTACTTTATTACTTGGCAATCCAAAGAGCTGATTTCTTAATCATGAATTGCATTGGTAATTTTTTTAAGTGCCTCTCAGCGTTTCCTTGCAACTGATTCCTATGTTTAGAATTTCCTTGAAACTAGAGAATAACATCGTTGCTCAACACAGAAACTTACAATTAGACCTCTGAAAGCGCTATAAGCTCCGTGAAAAATGTGTCCTCTGGATGAGAAATTTATTTTGAAGTTTTATCCGGAAGAACATGCCACTCTAGTGAGCCGGTGAGTACCTTTAAAAATTAAATTTCTGTACTCCTCGCGTCAAAGGGGAACATCATCTCATCCTCGAAGTTTAGAAAGTTTTAATTTTTGTCAAAACTACGTTGTGACGTGACATTCTTGAAAGATAAGCCTTTCCCGTTGCGAATGCATGGCATCAGGTGTTCAGGGGTGTTAGCGACGCTCTCGCATTTGGTATCCTTCCCCTCTTCGAATTAGTATTTTCTACTCCACGTCTATGTCATATTCGTTACGTGCCATTAACGAACCTTCTTAATAAACTCCAAACCAAGATTCTCTGAACGTTCCATGCGATAATTTAAGACCTACCTATATTCAATCGCCAATTTCCTGAAAAAATTGTTTTAAACATTGTATCTAGAGCTCTTAAACCTCGTCATCCCCTTGTTTCAATTAAAAAATTCCCTGTAAAAGGTTTTCTTTCACTTCCATATACATTTTCTTGGGGGTCAAGGACTTTAATGTTTCGTCCGATTCCTTCAAGCAGAATCAACTTGGACCACCAATTTTAAAAATAATTTAATTTAAGTTTGATTTGACTCGTAAGTTGCAACCTCTGAGAAACATCACGAGAACCAAGAGTAGATTAGTTAAGTAGGACATTTTTTTTCATCCACGGATGTCTCGGAATAACCCACGGTTTGGTCGATTCAACCAAAAATTTAAGTCGATCAATCAAGTCCTTTAGGCTGATCTGACCGAAAAACACCTAACTCAAAGTAACTAAAAACACAAAAATTTTAAGCTGTGTAAGTCAGAGGTTCAATCGCTAGAGTCATTAAAAAAAGTTACAAAGTCTCTCCCTCCTATACAGGCCGCAACTACTATCATTGATTAAATCTGTTCATTTTCCACCAAAAGAGATAAAAATATTTCAAAATTTACCATGGAGTTTCAATACGTTAACAAGAGGACGAATAAAAGAATTTTCCGAAACTATAAATCTTTACAAATTATCGCTTCCTATAATCTCTCCCTTCCTGTTTCTTTCTTACCGCCGCTCTCAAAAGCATCTCGATAAAATAAATATATAGATTATCTGAGAAAGGCACTTCGCAAAATAAAAAATCAGCGAGGTTTCCGATCGCGAGAAGATTCTGTAGGAGAGGGGAGAGGACTTCTTGGTAATTTAGTCTATAATCGAGAGCTAAATTTATGTCCTCACTTTAGATCGTTGAATTAAATTACTTTCAGAGCGCGCCATGGTTCAAGATTTACCTTCCCCTCGTTGTGTTAAGAAATTTTGATTCAAGCAATTTACCAAGTTTTAATTGTATTGATTTCGGAAGATGGGAAGGATATATACAGTGATAATAGCTTTCTCGCTTTACAAGAGAAGGAAAACAAACTGAAATAATAACAATGGGCCTGTTGTAAACTTTTGCTAGAGCAAAAATAAGAGTTGTTTCTTGTAGATAATGCCTCAAAAATCACGATGAGCGCATCGGCAAAGTCTGAAATGCACTCATAACTTCACAATCTGCGTAAGAAATTTGCGTTTTTTTAAGCTTCCCGCTTCAAAAACGATACTACGGCGTAGGTGAACATTTTGTTAGAGGAGTCGCTCCATCGTCGGCGATATTCATCATGGCCGACACTTGCGCGCAGTTTTGCGCGTAATTCGAGGAGAGTTCAAGGTCAATCAATGCGGGCGTGGAAAACATGAACGTTAAAACACGCCGATTGTTATCTGGTCTAATCCAGTTCAGGTATTATCTCGTCCCATCACACGTGTTTTGGCGGATTGGCGTCGGCCATGATGAGTATTGCCGACGATGGAACGACTCCTCTTACAAAATGTTCACCTGTGCCGTAGTATCGCTTTTGAAGCGGGAAGCTCAAAAAACCGCAAATTTCTTACGCAGACTGTGAAGTTATGAGTGCATTTCAGACTTTGCCGATGCGCTCATCGTGATTTTTGAGGCATTATCTATAAGAAACAACTCTTAGTTTTGCTCTAGCAAAAGTTTGCAACAGGCCCATAGTACCTATCAGCTGGACCGTATGTAAGCCTGAGATTTAAACACGAGAAAGAGTTTTGTTGTTCCTTTTTGAATATGCATTCCACCAGAGACTGGAAAAAGTTGAACACGTTGATGAAAACTAACTTTATCTTTAGCAGGAGATTGCCAGATGTAATGATTAAAAGGATCATGAATTGTACGTG